ACGGACCTTACCCATCTCAGGCTCTAGGATCATGACTCGATTGAAAATTTGGACAATCCACAACTCCATTCCACCCATTTAACAAGCTTGCAACAAGTCCGGAAAGATGGTTTGCGCTATATCGTCCATATTCAAAATGAGAAACGGCTTGATAAGCTTTCTACTGACCGAGTGGGTAACGTGCTCTCGTCCTACCTTTTATATAACTGATCCAATCCCCATTGGAGTGGATGCATTGGCACTGCCAATGAGACATAACCAGATAGAAACAACAATCCAATTCTTCAGTGTAGGCCTCATTTACAAGAGGGATAGCACATCAAGTATTTAGTTACTGCACCAAGACCAAAGACAATGATAACTCAAAGAACCATAGCACAATCAAACTCGTCTTTCGACACACGTTTATCAGACAATCCACTGACGATCTTGACAATATTCTGGCACATTTGGGTATGTCGTAAATCAAAAGATTTTTTCGTATGCAATAGAAGAAACCGTTCTTTATCGCCTAATTTACTTCAAACTGATCGTTAAGAATGGCAAGTGTTGAAGGTAACCAGGTGGTTACACACAGAGAGATAGGATAAACCGGAGATTTGGAACAAGTATCGATACCCGTTGCAAGAAACGGTAGCAATGTGATCGTTAGTTATATAAACAAGGATTTTTCGATGCGGTAACGTGGTATGATGTAAGCTAAAAAATAACAGCGTTGATGCGCGCCAAACCGTCATCATGTGTTTGCTTTTAATTGTGTGAGTGTGTTTGTTCAACTTTCCTTCATAAATACATTTGTGTAACTTGAGTCACGGTAATGGCCGGGGAGAAACGTGGAAGTGAATGGGTGAAAAATTTGGAATAGAGAACCCTCTTGGTTGATCTAGCCATTTTGGAGGCGTTTCAGGTTGCTTTTCATAGTGGTTATCGAGAAATCTTATTTACAGTGAGAAGACAGTCACAGTCAATCATTTATCTGCCTTTCTCTAACAGTTTGGCAAATTGATATTTCACGTGAGTGGGATCATAAAAGCTCGTGGAATTCACACTTGACTGCGAGTGGGATTCACTTCGTCTTTCGGTGTGTCCATTTGGTGCAAATGTGACGGAGGTCTAGGTCTACCGTAGTAGTCTGAGCTCCGGAACCCACTGGGCTCTCGATGATTTCTCCGGGTGCTGCGCGAGGAAACCGATTGAAACCATGAAGTCGTTCGACGTGAAGATGTGGCCGGGAGTCCATATTCGGCACTGAAAGTCGCCGAGCGTAAACGGGCATTGATGTTTCGACACTGACAGAGAAGAATCATTTTAAACGGCAGTCGAAATTCTTGATTGTATTTTGCGTAGATTATTGGATTGAGAAAGCTGTTCACATAACCTGCAAAATTAGAGAAATTAGAGAAAAATGGCAATTATAATCAGGATGTGCTTCAGCAGGTTTGCTGTTTCAACTTAAACAACTGCAACCGTTTACTAAACGAAATAAAAAATGTCCCCTTTTACTTTCTTTTATAATTCATTGAATATACAAATATTCAGCGAACTTTCAGGAAGGGGGCTGCGGTCATACAAGGCTGCTTGGGGAAATACAGAATAATGGAGAACGGGCGGCGGTGAAGCGGTTCAAACCCGGGACTTCCGCGTCACAGTTCAGTGACCTAACCACTTGGCCACCACCGCCCAAAGTGTTCTGTCAAGCGTTGAACAAAAAGAAAACAGTAGACACCACCGGTTGTTCGCAATTCGTAATTCGTTGAGAATTGTATTAATAGTAGCGTTCTAACGGTCTGGGGATGACGGCTTTTCGGTAGAAAGCTTTCTCTGAAAGGAATAATTAATTTACCAACTAATTCGGTTTCCTTACAAACGTAAAATACCAGGTGAACAGTTTTTGTTCGGGATTAAAAGGTAGTATATTCTCATAAGAAAATCTGATCAAAAACACTCAGAAATAAGATGCTAGTCTGGTCTTTTGATTCATTTACCTGTAGAAATGCATATAGTTCCCGTAGAAAACAAAACAAAACATCCTAACCGAAAGGGGCAATATACGCAATCACTCATGCGCTTCCTCGCTCGGGTCACATGCGAATGAGCAGAGCACCACTGATGTTTCTGATCCTATTTTTGGCAGTTCAAGTCAATACGTTTCCGCAAAATGTAACAGGCCCTTTTAACTGAACAAGAAATATGTTCAGTCAACTTTTGCTGAAGATCAATAAAACACAATAAAACGTGATGAAGGAAGTACAATATTTTGAGACTGTAAAAACAACACTTGCAGTTCTCCAATTGGTTTGTCGTGTACAGTTTTGCAGTTGTTTGGAACTAACTGTCTTGTTTTCGGTTTCAGCACATGTTTCTCTTGCAGGCTTGAGCATTAATAGCAGCGATAACCTGAAAGTTCGATTTTTGTAACGTTTGCATATTACCGGGGGTTCTCCCCTAAAGCGTACCGTCGTATTGTTATCGTCTCCTTTAAGTAGTTTTACGGTTCCAAAATGATTTAACCGATAGCCCTCGCTGGTGGAGAGAACACGACTGTTGGATCGATTACCCTTACGGCAGTATAAAACGCCCTCTGGTCTTGCACCAGATATATCTCTGCCCAATTACTGGGGAAGGTGAACACGGATTGGGACAGGTGAACATAGCTGACCATCCTAGTATTTCACAGAAACGTCAGTGTATATTCACGGGTAAAAAACGGGGCCATTGGACATACACGCGTTTTGCCTATGCAATGCAAACTGCATTCTGCTACTTTAAAAAGCTTTCGGTATATCTGGCTAAAGCCGTTACACACAATTTTCGCTTTCTAACACACTGCAACGCTGGATTTTCTCGAAAGAATCATTGCACGTTTTGCACCATTGAAATGAAGTACATCCGAAGACTCATACTAAAACTGTTTCGGAAGAACTAATCTTACATCTGCCGTGCATCAATTTCACAGATCTGTCAACTTATTTCCACCGATGACATTTTCACTTTGAATGGGATGAATTTAAAATTTGGCCTCATTTCGAAGAAAATGATCGCTTGAGGGATACCATTGATTGAAGGGGGGTTCGATGCGGAATAGTGTACCTCAAAGAACATGTGTGATGGTGTATCCCAGTTGACATGAGATGAAATTTTCTCTATAGAGCAAAGGCGAACGAGACACTATATTTTTGTGCGCGTATTTGCACCGGGTTGTATAAGCCTGGTCTTTGGGTTGAAACGAATGTCAAATACAAATCGGTAAAACATACGTTCTACCAGCTAGAGCACAAGACATCTGACCTCATAGGATTATCTCCGAAGCAACCAGAATCTCATCTGCAAGGACACGCACAAACCCGCTGTCTCTTCCAGTGCCCCCTGAGATACATGTATAAATGAGATATACTGGCATGCATTATACCATGCCTTGAAAAACAAAAATTGATTCAAACTAAATCGAAACATTCCTGTGTTTTTTTGTTGTTGTTGCCCGAAATGAATTCCATGTCGTAGTTGACTGTGCGACTTTTCTCAGCTTGATATGAAACAAACCGGAAAACATCAATCAGAGCAAAAAATGTATTTTCAAATTTACCCATACTGAACGGGAAAAACGAAACGGGTAAACCAAACTGTGGGCGGGTACGCAGTCGGTGGCTTCCAATGTCTTGTTAAAACACGGATGCAACACACGGACGGTAATCCTATGGTTTGACTTCGATAATCCCATACCTGGCAGGATAGCAATTTTCGCATCCCGTCCTAGGCATCTTAAATTGTCTGTTTTGGAGGCATACGTGAACGGTTGTCCATCCTCGCTTCAGTACGTGCCTGAGGGTGTTGTGATGGAACGTAGTAAAGCTGTGCCTGTGTGCGTGTGTATGTAGGCTAGAGGATGAAATCTTGGGACCGGGATGCGCGTGAGTGCATTCGGTGAGACAGTCAATCAGACAAGTCCGATCGACTTGCAAACGGTAAGCATGAAAGATCGCTGGGTTAAACCCATCAGAGCGGGATTGAAATGCGTTCTCTCTGTTTCCCAAAGATAAAACGTACGACAACAAACGGTTGATGGATCAGTTATTGCCCAATCGATTTTTTACATTACTCTTCAAACCTAACCAGCAATTAACAATTTTTCGTTCACTTGTTTCCCAGTAAAAATGCAATTTGGTTGTTACTTAGTTAAAGACTATCACGGTTTTCTGAAATTTATACTTACTATTGGTATTGATTGAGAATTTTCTCACAGGAAACACAACTAATGAAAATATACATAGAGAGTTTAATTTCCTAAAAGCATTTGAGAATGGTGCAATAGTTTGATTTCCTATACGTAGCGATCTGTTTTACACTCACTACACGTTCTAGGTATTTGCAATATGAAGAAGTTACAGCCGGTTCACAGTGAAGCGAAACTAAAGTAAGATGAAAGAAACAAGGGCAGCCCGATTGTTCTCTTGTTCCCATGATCCATATAGCCTATCTCTTCATTTTTAAAAGCTATTCCGTTTGATTAGAATGCTGCCTGTGGGGAATAACAATTACTTCATTTTTCATTTTAGTCGGTGAAACCAACTTTGATCAAAAAAAACCTCAATGAATAATGACTTCAGTTTGTGAAATATACTGGTAATATTCCTTCCCCATTTGGAACATCAACCAAAGTTTAATGAATTACAAGTAACAAGACCCAAGTTTAGCTGTTAAACTGCATGATTATATGATCGTGATACCACACGGGATGCAATAAGGGAATACGAATCGGTGGCTTACGAAATTGATGTCTTTCCAAACACTAAACTGGGTCTCCGGATTTCGGGGCAAAACGCAGATATCCTGTCGTTATTTTGGTTTGAAGTGTCTCCGCACAATGGACTGGGAAACCAGCAGGACGTGTGGAGCGGTCGTCGTCAACGAAACCTTTGGCTTTCACGGGTAAGGCTCTCTGTGTTCAAACTGGTTACCCTCAGTCAATTGCTAAGTGATTTCGAGGTTTGTTTTGGTAATCAGCTGATTTCAGTTTGAAACGTGCTTATCCTGGTCAATTTCTCTGCCATTCTACCGTCATACTCCTTAACGGATAGTCTTCCACAACGAATGAACTAGGGGGCTCTAAACTGTCACATTGAGTTAGGTTGAGGGAGCTCCATTCTAGAACAACTGTCCAAGTACGCAAGCAACTATCTATCTCTTCTTCAATCCCGGCCTTTCAGTAATATGCTTCAGTAATAAGCCAGCAATGAGCCATGATAATGGGGTATGCGTTACGGCTCAACAACGCTTATTCCAGCCGCTTCTGCTTCGTACATCTATGATTAAGTTCGGTGTCTAAATTTTGTCGGTGCCCGACGTATTCTTTCAAACAAATTACCTCGAGAAACCTAGTTAAAATTTAAACACTTGTGGTTCTTGTAAAGGAGGGCACTCTCTGTCCATTGATAGAGAAAATATAAACCGTGGATTCATCAGACTGACTAACCTAAAGTCTGCTTAAAGACCTGAGTCATCGCCCCACTCAATTCCTTACATTCATCCGTGGGTGATAGGTCGAGCAGAAATATGTGACGATCTACATACGGTAAACTTTTACAAAATCGGTGAACCAGATGGACTACATTCGATTGCATTGAAGGAATGCTTCCATAATTTGCCATCTGTCCGCTGTATTTTTTTAAAATGCAATACCGGATTGATGGAGAACATCGAGCAATATACCAATTTACGATAAAGATTCTACTAATTTTCGCCCCAACATTTGTACTTCAAACACTCTGAAGTTATTTGAAAGAATAATTTTACGCAGGTTGTTCCCACAGTTGAACATAGTTGATGGTAATCAATTTGTTTATTGTCGTAGACGATCTATCCTTAACTCTCTAACTTCCTTAGTGCATTTTCTTCTGTCATCGCTCGATAACAAACAAAAAGCTGTAAGAATGTGCTTCTTAGACAGCAGTGACTCATCTGAAAGTATTGGTGAAGTTCAGTTTCTGTCTGTTCTTGCAAATCATCTATTCTCTCCGCCAACTAGTTCTCGGCTATCTGGCTACTTGTTCTTTTGAAAACAGTTTAAACGCTACGGTGGTTAATTTATCCTCAGCCTTAGCTTTCAAAACAGGGGCTCTCCAAGGAGCCACTTCGTCCCCTTTCTTCTTTTCCACTTGGCTTCCATGCCTTTTTCAAAGATTCCTTGATGATAGAATATGCAGATGACGTCAGTTACGGCCTGCTTTCTCCCAATAACTCCGTTACCCCTACTTCTCACAACTTAACAAGTGATCTGCACATAATCATTCCCGGACTCCGTCTAAATGTGTTGATATCTTATTTTTTCCGTGGAGTTAAATTATATTATGATTTTCTTGAGATATGCGAGACACTAGCCCA